AGTGTACCTAAACAGGTTTGATTAGCGGCCATAGTTCCATTAAAAGAAGTTGCTTCAAAGTCAGAGCCTCAGAACAAGACTAACACGTAACACTGAACAACAACGGCCTCGATATTTGTTTACAGTTAGTTTTGCTGCTCTATCTACTTTTAGGGTGGGGTCAAAGAGGTGTGGTCATGTAGTTATAAAAAGGTGGGGCTGGGTCTGCATTGCATGCAAGAGCATGTACACAACACAGCACACAAAATCAATGAATCCAGCCTGATTACAGCATTGATACAATCTGAAAAGTATCAAAACACTACAATACACCAAAAAAGTGAGTTTATGTTATTATGTGAACTGATGTAGCATTAATTAAATTTTTATTCTCAATTTCTCTTTATTTTTAGGTACAGGATCAACTCAAGAGTTATGATTTTGGGGAACGAGAAACTGAGGAACTCTGGAGACAAAAGGAAAATGGTACTCCTATTATCTTTTAATTTATGGAAGTAGTTAATTAACTATTTGTGTTTTATAGTTATTGTATGACAGCAACTCTCTCTCCCCTTCTCTCTCCACCCACCTCTCTATATAACTACTCATTCTAATGTCATATCATAGAAATTGAGAATGAGAAGATGAAAGTTGAAAATGAAATTAATGAAATGTGTCAAAGTGCCATCCCATCAAGCAAATCTCCAACAATTGAGTAATAAATACACTGATTTAATTAAGTACATCCATAATATGTACATGTAGCAATAGCATTTTTATGTGTACATGTATGTAGCAATTGCATTTTATAGCCATTCTTGTCCCTATAAATCTAAAATTGAAGTTTTAAATGGCTGTAACTTAAAAAGTTATGTTCAGAATCAGCTTAAATTTTCTAGACAGCATAAAAGCATTAATATGTATCAAGAAATGTCACTTAAGCTGATTTAATTCAGAGCCATTTTTGGGAAAAAACCGTGGGCATTTTTCAAAGATTGGCTGTTTTTAAAAATGGCCATATAACTTGAAAAAGCGAAGTTGAAACCAGCTCAAACTTTCTACACAGCATAAGGACATAAATATGTATGAAAAAATGTAATAAAATTTTGGGGTAATTTCAGAGCCATAGTTTTATAGCCTTGGGTATTTTTCAAAAATTGGCCGTTTTTAAAACAAGAACTTACATGTAACTCAAAAAATTTAAGTCGGGATCAGCTCAAAATTTTACACAGTATAAGGACATCAGTATGTATCAAAAATGTAATAAAAATTTGGGGTAATTTTGGGGCTAATTTTGAGACAAAAGCATGGGCTATAGCCTTGGGTACTTTTCAGAATTAAGCATTTTCTTAAAATGAAGTCGAGCTTGGGATCGACTCAAACTTCCTACACAGCATAAAAGTATCGATATGTATCAGGAAATGTAATAAAAATTTGGGGTGATTTTAGGGCCAATGTTTGGAAAAAAACATGGGCTATAGCCTTGGGTATTTTTCAAAAATTGGTTGTTACATGTAACTCGAAAAATTGAAGTCGGAATCAGCTCAATCTTTCTACACAGCATAAGGACATCAATATGTATATCAGGAAATGTAATAAAAATTTGGGTTAATTTTGGAGCCATTTTTTGGAAAAAACTATGGGCTATAGCCTTGGGAACTTTTCAAAATTTTGGCATTTTCTTAAAATGACTGTAACTCAAAAAATTAAAGTCAGAATTGGCTCAAACTTTCTTCACAGCATAAGGACGTCAATATGTATCAGAAAATGTAATAAAAATTTGGGGTGATTTTGGAGCCATTTTTTGAAAAAAACCATGGGCTATATAGCCCATGGTTTTTTTCAAAAATTAGCTGTTTTTAAAAATGGCTGTAACTCGAAAAATTGAAGTCAGAATCAGCTCAATCTTTCTACACAGCATAAGGACATCAATATGTATCAGGAAATGTAATAAAATTTGGGTTAATTTTAGAGCCATTTTTTGAAAAAAACCACAGGCTATAGCCATGGGAACTTTTCAAAATTTTGACATTTTATTAAAATGGCCGTAACTCGAAAAATTGAAGTTGGAATCAGCTCAAACTTTCTACACAGCATAAAGACATCAATATGTATCAGAAAATGTAATAAAATTTGGGTTGATTTTGGAGCCATTTTTTGGAAAAAACCATGGGCTATGGCCTTGGATATTTTTTAAGATTTCGGCATTTTTTAAAATGGCCATAACTTGAAAAATTGAAGTCGGAATCAGCTCAAACTTTCTACACAGCATAAGGGCATCAATATGTATCAGAAAATGTAATAAAAATTTGGGGTGATTTTAGAGCCATTTTTTAGAAAACCATGGGCTACAGTACATGGTTAATACTATTATTATTATTATTGTTATTTATTAGTTTATAAATGTTTAGGAAACTGTTGAAGAGCGTACAGAGAGTCTAAAAGAAGAGAAACAATTATTAAAGACTTTAATCCAAAAGAATAAAGACAAAGAGTGTATCAAGTAAGTGTATGTATGCACACACTTATTATGATCCACTAGTAGCTTTATATCTTATAATGTGTGGAATTGTAATACAGCAACTTTAAAATAATTATTTTAGTCATTTTGGCTTTGCCAGCGATTAGTGTAGGCCAAGGATATGTACATGTAGTTACTTTATTATCATTAATTCAATTATTTTATTTATTTATTTCTTATTTTATTAATATAGATATTAGTTTAAACTACAAAAGAAGAGTCTACCAGTTCATTTTAATGAATCCTCAACAGTCGATAATGTACAAGGATGTATCCTCTTAACATACCATGTACATGTACATCAATATGTATCAGTAAAACATTGGAGTAATTTCAGAGCCAAAATAAAATCCCTAATTTCACAGTTGCATATTATACAGTATAGCAAAAAAGTTTGGAGGGAATTAATTTGGGTGAATTTGGAATTCTGATAGCCATTCGACAAAATAAAATCTGCCATTTAGAGCCATTATAAGCATTCTCAATGGCACATGGCCAGTCTGGCCACAGCGCCACATTAAAATCCTCCAATCACCAAATTTAACATCTCGCTAAATTTAACTCCCTCCAAAATTTCCCTCTATACATATAAACCATATACCATCTTTCTCGATAACAAACAAAAAACCAGATT